GGAAAGATTCGAGTGAGAGAACGGCACAAGGTTGATGTGATGCACGACAGTAAGGAGAACTCCGTGTCTTTTAATTTAACAAAAGAATTTTCTTTAATATAATCAGTTACAGAGTCAAAGAATATAATTAATTAAAAATTAGATTAACAAAATATCAAATGCGGTCACCTTTTCCAAAATTGTATTTGGAATCGCGGTGATGGAAAATCTCGGCGATTTTCTCGGAAAGAGTCGTTTTATCGCGATTTCACTGAGCGGTTAGCGCGGCGATTTAACGAAGCGGTATAGTAGCGAGACTAGGATTCAAAGAACTCGAAGAACTTTTAGAAATAAGAACTCTGAGAAGTCTAAGAATTCTAAGCGGTGTAGACTATTTTAGCAATCTGCGCAATCTGCCTTGAGGACCGGCGAGATCGAAGCATTTATTACTTCCGGTCCGGGCTTTCTTCTTGGGAGAAATCCAATTAAATTTAGCCACAATCGTAATTATCACGTGGCATTGGTTGTACAAAATTGATTGGCGCTTTCGATTCTTTTCTAGCGACGTTCAACGTAACAGTCATGCGCGACAGAAAATCCGTACGCGGGATTGGTAACAGCGCGTGACGTATTCGTCGGAGCGCGGCGCTCGCGTGCGCGAATCGAATTGTTCTAGAACTTTCGATGTTCCGTTGCCGGTGCCTGTTTGCGTGTACCGAATTGTTTTGAAAAGGCTAAAGAACAATGAATCTCTGACTTTGATGAGGCTTAAAGTCAGGCTCGAGATGAAATCACGAGCTCGCCTTGTGCGTGCGTTCAATAACAATTACTGTCGGTCGACCGAAGGAATTCTTACCTTTTTTGAATTACCGATCTCGAACAGTGATTCAGTCGTCTATATTAACGGTACGGAGATACACTGCGGCAGCGAAAGCCACAGTCAATGCGTCGGAAAACCTATGAAGGGCGTAGTATAGAGTATGAGATCCGTAAGTAGTCTAGCGTGGAATGCTAATGATATTGATGAGTCACAGAAGTCGTTGATGGTAATCGAACCAGCAAAAGAAATTGGCTAGGAATTTCGTCCCATCGGCATTGGAAGGACCACAGCCGCTGCATAAAAATTTTGGCGGTAATACTGACGAGAGTAGCCTACAGGATCGAAAAACTTAGCGATGGTCAGAATGATTCGTTTGGTTCGTTCGATAATGATGGTACGGTCACGCAGAATTGAAAGATATTTAGTTTAGGATTTCAGAGTATTCCTAAGATCTTAAGATGCTCGTCATCTTGAACAACCTTATGAACTAAACCATGATCCGCGGGATCGAGCTCGGACAACAGAGCGTTGCTCGCCCATTTTCGAAGGCGAAAGCCTCCTTTCTTTAGTAACTCGATCAATTGATCGCGTGTTTGACCAGCAAGAATCTGGTTGTTTGTGCCAAAAACGCAATCAACATATATTTGACGTAAAACGGAAACCACGAGCAGAAATTCGGCACCTTCGTCGTCTACAAGTTATTTTAAAACCCGAAGGGCTAAGTAGGAAACGACGGCTGTGCCGTAGGTAACGGTAAGAAGGCGGTAATCCGTGATTGGTCCACCAGAGATAGGTTGCCATACAATGTGCTGGTAGTCAGTGTCTCGGGAGTCAAATCAACTAAGATTTGCCAATACATTTTGGCGATATCGGCAGTAAACACGTAATGGTATTGGCGCCACTGCATTAGGACAGTAGCTAAATCCCTCTGAAGTTTAGGGCCAATGTACATATGGTCATTCAACAACGTCCCATTTGATGTGCGGCATGAAGCATTGAAGACCATTCGTAAGCGGGTGATTGCACTACTGTCACGTAAGACAGCGTGATACGGTATATAATAAGTTTGATTTGACAATTTCGGTGGACTTTTGAGTCATGTGACCGAGTGTTTCATACTCTGCGAGAAATTCGCGGTACTCGAAAGCGTTAATTGGATCTCGAATTAAGCGTTGTTCTAAGCGGCGAAAGCGCGAAACAGCAATAGAGCGTGATTCGCCTATCGAGATAGATAGTCCGTTTTTAAACGGTAGTCAAACGATAAAGCGTCCTTCCTGTACGGGAATGTGTTCGGAAGTGCTCTTCGCACTGGTGCTCCTTAGGGCTCAGTGGAGCTTTCTGAGGCACTTCCTCAATCTCCCAAAAACGACGAAGATTGCGATTAAGAGTTTCAAGAACAACTTGTGATGCACAAGTACGGAGATTGACTCAGTAGTCGGAAACGAGGCTATTGGTCCAGAAAGAATCCAGTCGAGAGTCGTATTTAGATTCATGTTCAAAACCTTTTCTAACACCGTCGAGAACGAGCATGCCGAATATGCACCGATTATGATGTCGATCGGATCCGAATTCGGGGTCACGATCGGCAAACTCGAATCCGGGTACATGTTTCCAATTGTACGCGGTATCGACTCGATTCGGTAAATATTTCGTTAATGATCGAAGTAAGAAAATCACAGCCGTAGTATAGGAAAATCCGTCGGGAGACGTCGGAGTAATCGTAATTTGAGCAGCGTGACGCACAACGGATTGCATTTCGCTAATGCCGGTAATGGAAACGGAGCGATTAATTCTCGAAAGGCGTAGGCGTTGATCAAGCGATTCAGAGATAAACGTAGAGACGAATCCCTGATCAAGAAGTGCGCGAACTGTGACAAAGTGTTTATAAGGCGAATAAACTCGCGCGGTCGCGAGCAAGATTTTGGAGCTCGGTACTATGGTTTTCGAAAATAAGTGCATACCGACGGCGATTACATTCTTGCTACTTATGGACGCCGATGGTTAAATGTCGACAGACTTAACGGAATTATCAAAATGTAACAACGTGTGATGCCGTTTACTGTCAACACGCGCGAAGATTTGTATAATCTTTCACAGCGTGCTTCGTACTGAAACAGTTCACACACTGCGTTTTTAATGAATTCAAAATGCTGGGATGGAGTTTGCTTGAAGAATGTAGAACATTGATACAATAGATGGTTCGCTTTGCATAATGGGCACAAGAACGGAACGGTAGACGCGATATGTAAGTCGAGAGTTTTCTTTTTGAAGGTTGTCTGTGACTTCTCTGTCGAGTTCGCGGGTGCATTCGCATCGAACGCGCGAAGAGAGATGCAAGAAATTGATCAAGTTCACGATAACGCGAGTAATCTACAGTATCGCCGAATTTAAGTTCCCAAGCTTTTCGCGATGACTTATCGAGTTTTTGTGCAACTAGAAAAACAAGCAAATCATCCCAATGCTCAGTAGCGCAACCGAGATTGCTCAGAGCTTGTATAGCTTTATTGGTTTGATCACGAAGCGTGCGAAGATTGTTGGAGGTTTCTGTCGTGAGCGACAGTAAATTGAAAAGCGATTGTAACTGTATCGTAATAAGGCGATGTTTGTTATCGTACCGGGAAACGAGAATATTCCACGCGATAGTGAAATTATTATTGGTTACCGCGAGATGATCAAGAGCGTTACTTGCATCTCCCTTTACATATGAACACAAATAATGCATGCGCTCGACATTCGTTAAACTCTGATCATCATGGATCATCGATTTAAATTTATCGCGAAAGCTTTCTCATTTAAAACTTCCGTCGAAGATCGGCAGGTTGATCCTCGGAAAATGCGACGATGACCGGAACGAGTTATTAAGATCACTTACATCATGTGCAGCGGGACGGGATTCGCGGACTTCGTGACCAGTATCTTAGCCATGTAGTCCAGTACCTTAGCCATGTAATCAGCAGCTTCGTGGTAATAGTCCTCAAGTCAGGAAATAATTCTGGGTGAAGTATGTATAGGTTGCCTTCAGTTTCTCGTCCGCAGCCAGTATAATTTTGCAATCCAACTCCTGGCATCTTGCGAAAATCTCCTTGAGGGTTGCAAGGCGTTGTCACGTTATAGCACATGTCATCTTGGCCTGTCCCAGCTTTTTAAAATTAGTGAGTATGCGAGATATGGCGCCCATCTGCTGATTTTGTACACTCATCAGTTTATCGAGAGACGATATGATTTCCAACGGAAAGGCACGACTCGGAATGTTCGAGAGTCAAGCAAAACAATAATTTTCCTTGGCGACGATCCGGCTTAAAGGATCAAATTATGTTTGTGTGTTTATGACGTTGGTGTCACCTTGTATGGAAGGCTCGCTCGCCAAGGCGGCGTATAATAATGACGACTCTCTTTGTTGTAAGAATTTAAAATTTATTGTTGAATCTAATTAAATTGGATTCGAAGCAGGCGGTAAGTAATGCTCGTAATCCGATAATTAATGCGTTCGGTTAGATGCGTGCACAGGTAATTCACACTTGATACGACATCAAGGAATTTCTCACAGCCGTTCGAAAGAAAGTGTATTGTGAGCAGCAACGAGACCGGCAAATCTCGCCAGGGATTCAAGTAATTCGCGCATTAAATGTCCTCGCGAAACGCGTATACCGAGAACGTTAGGTGACCAAATACGCGGTAATCCGATGGAACTTCGGTGTGGTTCGCACTTAAGATTCGGGATAAGAAGCGTTACGAATGAATAGCGATAGATGATCCGTATTGATCAGGATCGGAAAGCAAACTGAACTTTCACATGCGGAACATGTGAGCGAACTTTTCGAGTATCGCACAAGGAGAGTCGCATGCCATCTGAGATAAATAGTATGATTAGAACGAGATATCCACATGTTTTGAACGGTAACGGCTCGGTCTATTTGCTTACCATCGCCGAGAATACATTCAAATTAACGATTATTCCGGAATTGTATATATGAATAAAGGCTGTTATATTTTGTTTTGCAATGTAACTTGTGCAATGAAGAATATTAATTTTAGGTTGCTTTTATTTTATATATGTAAAAGTTTTATTTTCAGTATATAAGAAACACATGCACTATTAAATATATTTACGTTGCAATTTTTATTTCAGAAATAAAAATATAAGTTTATTTTGTTTTGCAATACATAATTTTTGTTTTGTATACACATATAGCTCATAAAATATTAAAGATAACATTTCTTGTTAGTTTTATTTTTAAGTGAGAAAATACAATTTCAAGTAATACATCTATGTTACATGGTTTCTTAAAAAATAAAGTTATTATGTGAAATATTGTAGTATTATTCTTTCTCGCACTTCATTTCCTCTTGCATGTAAATTATTGTTCAAAATAGGTTCTAATTCTTCTTCAATATTTTCATCTCTATATACGTCGTTGACAGGAATATTGAATTTTTCGGCTAGACTAGATATGTATAGACTAGATATATTGTCAAGGTCAAGGTCATCAATGGTTGCTCTCATTTTCCACAATTTTATCTAATTTTTGTACATTATTAATTTAAACATTAGAGCAAAATTTTTGTTGAATATTTCTCCTTTGAAGATTGAATTAATAATAATATTTTAGATTCTGCATACATACCTAATAGCCATACATTTCTTCTACCATTTTGATATTTGTTTAACATGTATCTGGATAATCGAGAGGAATTCCAAACTTTGGAATCATGCGGCCACTATGACTTGACAACTTGCCAATATTATTCCATAATAGTCACTGATCTAAAAAAAAATATGTATAAAACCTCATGAATATAAATTTAATGAAGGCATATAATATTATTTTCTTTGATTATATTTGCTTAATTATATGATGGCATATTTATTGTGAAATAAGTAGCACTTACTATCATAACATTTAAAGGATGAAAGTTTTCTATTAATATAAAGGTGTTCTCTAGGTGTTTTCTCTGGTGACCATATTATTACATATGTCCCATCTATAGCGTTTATCTATTATTCCAGGAAAGTTAGTATTAATCCAGAACCTAAAATATATTTATATTTTAATTTTGCATACAAAGTTGTAAAAATTCCATTTTATTTGTTTTATTATTCTATACTTATTATTCTAAAAATGAGAGAGAAAGAGAGAGAGAGAGAGAGAGAGAGAGAGAGAGAGAGAGAGAGAGAGAGAGAGAGAGAGGAGAGAGAGATATAACATTAATCTTATCGTATTATTGTTGATTTGAATCTCAGCAGGTAATGTTAAAAATTTTATCTACTGTGACATTATCATATTATTGCATTTATTATTGAATGTGTCTGATTCATACTGTTTAAGAAATATTGTTCGATCTTTCTTTGATATGAATCAGAACTTAAAAAACTTAATGTTGCTAAAACCTTCAAAAATATAGAAGGTAGTAATTAAAATGTCTTTAACGTATAATAAAACAATGGTACATATATGCGAATTTATCACAATTTTCGTCTAACCCTAACCTAATTCTAATGGTATTGCTGTTAACTTATAGAATCTTTGCACATATGGTTGTATATATTCATAACATAAAAATGGCATCTTTTGAAAGTCTGCGTAAAATGTATTTATAAAATCATTAATATCAATTGTTAATAATGTTTTATTATTTCATAGCATAAAATGTAATTATAAGGTAACATCTTCTAGATTGTTTATACTTACCGATATAAAGCCATAAATTGAGGTTTCGAGATCTCAAAAGGATTATTTAAATCTTGTAATTCTCTTCTACGTATTTTAAGTATATGTTTTTCATTATGTTCAAGTTGAAGTACCCACTATGCTGCAGCCATGTTATTCTAAAATAATTATTAAAACAATGTTTTATAAAGTAACATACGGTTTGTCAATATAACACATAATCTAAATTATCACATATTTCGCAAGTACTAACAATAACATATATATATATATATCAACTACTAGGGAACATTTACATTTTCACTACATTTTCGCCATTTCGCCATCAACTTTCAAGGTGAAAAAGTTCACGTGGAAAGTTTTATATTTCCACAGTTCAAAAAGTTGCATGATTGCAAAAATTCTCGAATTCGCGTAAAATTTTTCACTTTTCACATTTCCACCCTAGGGAAAAATTATGTGATCGCTGCCCTGGAGCTTCTTTCAACAAAGTAGCTATGGACATTGTTGGATCTTTACTAAAAATAAGAGAGGCAATGAATATATCTTAACATTACAAGACCAATTAACTAAATATTGTATGGAAATACTTCTACCAAATCAAATTTCCGAAACGATAGCTGAAATTTTTAAATAGGTTCATTTGCATATTGGAATCATTAAAAGCAACATTAACAGATCAGGGGAGAAATTTTATTTAGCGATTTAATGAAAAAAGAATGTTAATCTAAATTCCCTGATATAAAAAAAAATTACAATAAATTCGGCAAATAGGGAATTAGCGCTGTAATACGTGCGCAATCAATTTCAATATTATTGAATTGTATGTATCCTAATTTAATTATTGATTTGTAGTATATATATTTCGGTTAACTTTTTAGTCAATCTCGATACATACAGATAATTTCTTGTGGAAACGTAAACATTGAGATGTATAAAATTAACCTACGATATTCGCATGATTTCCTTATTTTTAATGTTTCCATGAGAGGTGGTCAATCTTCACTACTTTGAGAAACGCAAGCAGTTGACTAATTGAATGATGCAACCATGCATCATTATTAAGCGCCTTCAATTGGTCCAATAAATTTATAAATCGATTTTAAGTATATTCGTTAGAATAATGATCGTTATCTCACCTCCATCAAATCATTGCCGATACACGTCAGTGATATAAATATTTAGTCAATTGTATTTACGTAGGCAAATCAATAAGTACCTGTGTTTCTAGACAGGCGATGTTGCTGATCCATCGACGTTGGCACCATCGTGTACTACCATCTTTCAAGTGACGCCATACAAAATTTCAGAGTGATTCATTCAATATTTTGCATGATAACTTGGGAATGAAAAAGCTGTCGGATGGGTACCGCGATTGCTCACAATGCACCGGCTCACTCCTCCGCAGTCGCCACAGCCAAATTGGTCGAATTGCGCTACGAATTGCTGCCGCATCCACCATACTCTCCGGATTTAGTGACACCCCCTGTGACTTCTTCTTGTTTCCAAACTTGAAAAAATGGTTCGGTGGAAAAACATTCACGTCGAATGAGGAGGTCATCGCCGAAACAGAGGCCTATTTTGTAGAGTTCGAAATTGTATTTTTCTAAGGGATTAAAAAAATGGCAGAAGCATTGGGAAAAGTGTTTCCTCCTAAAAGGGGATTACATTGAAAAATAAAAAAAATTTTTGTGAAAAGCTTGCGTCTTCACTAACACGGGTATTTATTTGCCCTCGTATATATATATATATTATACTTAGTAATTAAAAGAGCAATAAATTATTACTCGTATTAGAGTGTCGAAGTAAACTGCTGTCTAACTTAATCTTTTTCTTGTCTAACTTAATCTTCTTCTTCTTGTTCGATGTTGATTGGCCCTTACCGCGGAGTAGCAGCAATTCCGACCAGGGTGAACTTAGTAGCTGAAACAAGTAACCAGACGGGGGCGCCGCCTGGGAGAAGAGGAGAGAAACAAAGTTCTCTGCCCCTCCCTTAAAACAAAAAACATGTTCATGGAAATCAGATACTGAGATTTAAAGATTTGAGATATGCAGTAATTAAACGACACAAGGTAGAGGGGGGATTGTTAATCATACTATGAATATTAAGGGGATGAAACGGGAAGTGTTTTTTCAGGTAATCACGAAATCTAGTTGATTTATGGATACAAAGTTTGCAATAAAAGAGGATATGATTAATGTCCTGATTTGGATCACCACAGAGACATGCAGGCGAATTGACAATATTTTTACGATGCAGGCTGTATGCTAGATTATAATGGTTAGATCTGATTCTAGAGATGGTGATGATCTCCTTTCTTTTAAAATTCTTATGATAGAACCAAGGCTTGGTTGAGTTACTTCTATGAAATCATCATATAGCTGCCCTTTAAATGTTGCGCAGTGATCTAAGTGCGCTTGAAATTTAGTGTTGAGGGATTGCTTGGAGATCATAAAAAAGTCTTGAAATGGTATTTTAAATTTAGACCGGTGTCCACTAAGGGCGGCCTCATTGACAAGGTGATCTGCAGTCTCGTTACCGATTACACCTTTATGAGTCCAAATAAAATTAATTTTGAAACCATGTTGCATTAAAAAGGATAGACGATCCTTAATATCTAATGTAATATGGTTCGCATTTCCAGAGTTGTAAGACGATATAGCCTGAAAAGCACTTAAAGAGTCAGAACAGATGGAAGCCTCGTCACAACATCGATCTTCAATAAGATTAATCGCCTGAAGAATAGCCCAAGACTCGGCCAAGAAAATTGAAGTCTCCGGGGGAAGCTTGAATTTGAGTGCAACGTTAAGATCTGGTGAATAGATTGCGGAGCCCACGCGATCCTCGCTAACGGACTTTGAACCATCGGTGTAAATAATGGGACCGCGATTGGCGGTATGTGATTATAATTTCTAGGAATCGAGTTTGATATATTCGGTTATTCGCTTTCTTAGGAACATTGGTGAAGGAACTGTTAAATTGATGGACATAAGTATAGCTTTCATAACTGTGTTTATAAGCATAAGGCATGTTGGATCTGCAGATGATTTTAAGTGAGTATTTCTGCATTATATAGTACTTGAACGCAAGTACAGTAGCTAGGGCCCGCTGTCTTCTTGAGGGAGAGTATGCAGCCTGTTCCAAGCTTTCAAAGCTGTATAGCACTGGGGAGTTCTTCCTGGAGAAAGCCTTATAGATGAACTTCGAGATCATATAGCCAAATCTGATGTTAAGAGGGGTTTCCTTTGCTTCGGCCATAATGACGCTAATAGGTGTAGATAGTCGGTATCCGAGAGCAAGACGCAGGTTTCTGTTGAACTAACTTTTCTAGTTGTAAAAATTCAGTCTTGCCCTTGAGCTTTACTTGACATCCGTATTCGATAGCAAAGTGAAATACAGCTCTATAAGGGTAAGAAGTAAGCTTGGATGAGATCCCCATTTAGTGCCTGCGAGAAGGCACTAGTATATTAGTAAGATTGCGTTCCTTATTGACCAAGGTCTTTAGGTGCTCTTTGCCGCTCAACTTGGGGTCGAGAGTGAAGCCCAGAAAGGTGGCAGATTGTACTCTAAGAATTTCTTCGTTCTGAATGTGTAATTTAATATCCGGATGTGACTGTCTCTTCTTTGTAAAGAGCATCCATTGGATTTTTGAGGGGGAAACTTCCAAGCCCCTGTTTCTCAAGTAAGAATGTATATTGTTTAGTGAAGATTGGACCGACGATCTAGCATCTTCAGCGTTTTGGTTTGATGAGAAGATAACGACGTCGTCCGCATATTGTAAGAGAAGGGTGTTCTCATGTAGACATTTATTAATATCCGCACAGTAGAGGTTGAAGAGCAAAGGGCTAAGAATGGACCCTTGAGGGGTACCTTTCAGAGCGATGTATGGACCTTCAAGTACGCCATTACAAATGAACGTAATTTGTTTGTTGGAAAGAAGATTACTTATGAATTTAACGGTTTTGGGATCCCAAGACGTTGTAAATCTTCTATCAAAATAGAAGAAATCACGTTGTCGAACGCTCCCTGTTCAAAAATGCACATATAGTAAGGGCGTTATTAATGAAGGCGCCCTGAATATAATTTGTCACAGCAACAAGATTGTCAGAGCAGGTACACTAGGGGCGGAAGCCTGTTTGGATAAACGGCAGTATGGCATTGGATTCGGTAAACTACCTCAACCTCAGATAGATAATTTTTTCCATAATCTTTAAGAGATACGAGAGAAGAGAGATCGGTCTGACACCTTTTCCATTTAGTTTAGGGATAAGGACGACCTTTGACTTATTCTATTCCGCAGGGAAAATTCCTTGACAAAAAAGGTTGTTATAGATTTGTAATAGCACGGAAAAACTATCCGGTGTTAAGTTCTTAATTAAAAGTAATAAAAAAGGCTCTGTACTAATAAGCAAAAGGTAATATAAAAGGAGGGCAAAGAGCCAATGACGTATATAAAAAAATTATAATTTAGATAAGCAAACTTAATACAAAAACAATTAAAATACAATAAAATAAAACAAACGTTTCAACTCCAATTGAGTCATTTTCAATGCCATCATACAGTAATATAAATGTCGTTCTAAATTAAAAATTCGTACATAATCTTACAATATTCTTACAATTCCTTAACAAAAATTTCTTTCTTCTTTCTGTGTAATACGCTGTGAGTCATTTTTATCAAGAATTAACAAAGTCATAAGAAAGTTCTGGAAAAGTAACCGTAAACAAAAAGAATTAATATTAATCACATAAAAATTAAAAATATGATGATATACCTTAGTAAATCTGTTAAGAGTCCCATAATACACAAGGAGAAAAAAATGTAAAATGTAGTCCATTTCGTGGTACAATAAAAAAGTCTTTTTAATTTAATAGGTTATTATAAGCAAATTCGCAAAGGTAACGAGCATCTGAATACTGAGCTACACTTAAACAATGTCACAAAACGAAATGTCAAACAGAAAAACATTATCGAGAACGGAAAACGGAAAAAAGTTTGTGAGTTTTTCAAATATTTAGATAACATTAATAATTTTTACTTTTTTCAATATACAAGAAATATTGACAAGAAGATTTTATGGTTGAAAGGAAAAGATTTTAAAGATAAAAAAGCAAATATTAAGCCGATATCTTACTGTTGTGCTTCGAATAATGAATTGCTTAATAAAATTATACCTAACAAGGTTAACAATGGCATTGATGTACAAAATATAGAAAGGATTCACATTTCGGCTGAATTGTTTGGAGATGCGGCTCCTCTAGATGTTTTAAATGATAAATGGTTTCTGAATTTGAGCAATGTTGACATTCCTTTAGAGGTCCAATGTTTGCTTCAGTTGGGAGAAGGCTTTGGTCTTCCTATTAACAAACA